AGACTTCTGGCGACAAGGTGTGGATGGGCAACTCCGCCCAATCCGAGGTTCAAGGCGTGGGCAAAGTTAAGCTCAAGATGACATCCGGCAAGGAGCTCACGCTGAATGATGTGTTGTATGTGCCAGACATACGGAAAAACTTGGTGTCAGGCTCACTATTGAACAAACATGGATTCCGCATGGTGTTCGAGTCTGATAAGCTGATCTTGAGCAAAAAGGGAATATTCATAGGCAAAGGTTATATTTCTGATGGGCTTTTTAAGCTTAATGTACTCACTGTTGTTGAGAAAATTAATAAAACTCCTGTTGCCTATGTTTGTGAGTCCTCCAGTGTGTGGCATGGAAGACTAGGACATGTTAATTATGCATCTCTTCAGAAATTAATTAACATGGAATATATTCCCAGGTTTGTTATCGACCAGTCCCACAAATGTGAGACGTGTGTCGAAGCAAAGTCAACGCGAAGTTCGTTTCAAACAATTGAGCGAACCACTCATCCACTGGATTTAATTCACACGGATCTGTGTGATTTCAAATCAACGCCTTCAAGAGGTGGTAACAAATATGTTATCACTTTTGTCGATGATAGCATGAAGTATTGCTATATTTATTTACTTAAAAGTAAAGATGAGGCGTTGGACACTTTCATTCGGTATAAGAATGAAGTAGAAAATCAACTCAATCGCAAAATTAAAGCGATTAGGAGTGATAGGGGCGGGGAGTACGAAGCTCCATTTGCCGAATTGTGTGCACAACATGGAATTGTGCATCAGGTAACTCCGCCATACACACCCCAATCAAACGGTGTGGCGGAACAGAAAAATCGCACTCTCAAAGATATGATGAATGCGATGTTGCTTAGTTCGGGGCTACCCCAAAATATGTGGGGGAGGCTATTTTATCTAGCAATTATTTGTTAAATAAAATACCCCAAAAGAAACTTGATAAGACTCCTTACGAGTTGTGGTATAATAGGAAACCTTCCTATAAATACCTGAAAGTGTGGGGGTGCCTTGCAAAAGTTTTAGCACCACCACCAAAGAAAATAAAGATTGGTCCAAAGACCGTTGATGCAATCTTTATTGGCTACAGTGGTAGCGCGTATCGATTCTTAGTGTATAGGTCTGATAATCTAGAAATACATAAGAATATGATAATGGAATCGAGGAATGCAACATTCTTCGAAAATATATTTCCGTTAAAGTCGAGGGAAGAAGTAAGTTCTTCCAAACGTTCACATGATGAAATGTTGAACGATGGTTCCTCGGATCAGTCTAATACCGGTATAATTGATGAAACCGAAACTGAGACTGAACTAAGACGAAGTAAAAGGACACGGACTCAGAAGTCCTTTGGTAATGATTTTCTAACTTATTTGTTGGAATTTGAATCGGGGACTCTATCATTTTTGATAGAGACTGAACCCGATATTCTAACATGTTTATTAGAAAATGAACCACGAACTTATCGTGAAGCAGTGACTTCGTCTGAAGGCCCTCAGTGGAAAGAGGCAATTAAAAGTGAAGTTGATTCTATTATGCAGAATCACACTTGGGAGTTAGTGAATCTACCTCCTGGATGCAAACCGTTAGGTTCTAAGTGGATCTTTCGGAGGAAAATGAAACCAGATGGTTCCATTGATAAGTACAAAGCCAGACTTGTAATTAAGGGTTACAATCAACGTGAGGGCTTTGATTATTTTGATACATATGCCCCTGTGTCAAGGATAAATTCCATTAGGATGATACTTGCAATAGCTTCCTTGCGGAACTTAGAAGTACATCAAATGGATGTGAAAACAGCTTTCCTTAATGGAGATCTAGAAGAAGAGATCTACATGGAACAACCAGAAGGGTTTATAGTTCCTGGTCAAGAAAGGAAAGTATGTAAACTTGTTAAGTCATTATATGGTCTTAAACAGGCGCCAAAAGTATGGCATGAGAAGTTTGACCAGGTAATGATGAACTCTGGGTTCAAAATTAATGAATCAGACAAGTGTGTTTATCTAAAAAACACATC